AAAAAACGATTGCGATCGACATGAAGAACAACACAAGACAACATTTGTTGGCACAATTGATGACATTCAGGCAAGCTAAAAATATATTTAATCTGCATTAACTTTGCATCAAAGTTGAGCGGGAACTGTGATTCTTTTATGCTATTTCGCTTAGTTCTTATTAAGAATATTATTTTGTGTACACATTTCAGACTTCAATCCAGGCTTTAGTTGCGGCCACTTATCTCAACTACTCTATCATTTACGGCAATTCAATCGATACGCCTGACTTTTAATTACAATACAAGCTTGCGAATATTGTTAATTTCATTTGAACCGACTTGGAGCACATTCACGTGATGATTATCTGTCTATGACGCAGCTCTATTTATAATTTGCATGCTTATTAAGCTAAACAGTTTAATGGAATTAATAAACAAGCAACATTTCCCCATTCGCGAATTCAGTTCCCGTCCCGGTACCGAGACATCAAGACAACGAACCAGCTAATCGATGCTAGCTGCTTCGCCACCCGCTCTATAATTTAAATACGCTCGCACGGCATGGCTGATGCACATTTGTTTACGATACTTAAGCGTATGGCAATTTTCGTAATGAATATTCTAATTGGTTTTTAATTATTATACAAAGCGCGTTTCGTGTCTTGGCCCTGTGGCAATGCGAAATGGGCTAATTGCAGCTGGTAATTGCAATATTAGACGCCTCGCCCGAGCCGGGCATCTACTGGCCACGAGCACACAAGCCACACAGTGCAACAGGCGGCGTCAAATGCAGCCACCTCAATTAATATGTATATCGCCAGCTACTCTATCCAATAGCCAATGCCTGGGAATGGCCACACGCAATCGACGCATTTGGCGAGCTGCACAGTTGCACAGTTGAGCAAGGTGCAAAGGGGTAACGGGGGCAAAGGTGCAAGGGGGCGTTGGGGTCGACCTATATTAATTCAATAACGGTATGCACAATGCAACTGCAACTGGCGGTAATTGATTAGCTATTCACTTAAATTCAGTCTAACCCTTGAATAATGCATTGCGGCCTGAAACTAAACACGAGCTGCTCAAGCATTCGATTGTTGGCCCAAAATAAACAATCGAACGCCGCGTGGGCGCCCATAAAGAGAGGCAGGCATCAGGGCGCATCGTAAAGTTGGCATATTTATGTGACTAATTTGAAATAAAACATAAAACTCACCAAATAATATTAAGAGTCTCACATTCGAGTCGCCACATAGGTGAGATGCATATCAACAATTAGAAGCACGCCAGGCGCCCCATGGCCACAAGAGATTCGAGAAATTTGACGCTTTTACGAGCGCTCCACGCCACAGACAGGCAGCATAATGTCTCTCTTTGACATACCAAATTAAAGCAATGGACACAAGCTGGACATTTGAGCGCTGGAATCTGGTGAGACGAGTACTTTGCATATGAATGGGACGATGCCGTGTCAGCTGGCGCCGCAGAGAGCGAGCCGGTTTGCAGAGCGGCAACATAATTGAGGCAATTAGAAAACATCAAAATATTGGGCCTGGCCAAAGAAAATTGTTAAATAAATAAATGCTAACAAATTTTGATCTTAATTAAGCACTTGAGCGCTTAGCTGAATGTTTATGTAAAGTCTGGACGGACAACAACCTGGCTCTGACTCTGGCTCTGACAATGCAATTAAAGCCGACTCTCAAGCGCTGAGCAATGACAAAGCATAATTCAATTTAGAGTTGAATTTGGCCAGGTTGGAAGGTAGCTGAAGCCAACGCCCACCTTATAATCATTCAATTAAAACGCTTAGGAATTATTATTATGACAAACAAATGTCGAGAGTTTTAAATTGATGCCAATCTCGCGGGCCAACCGCTAACGGCAGGAAGTTGAAAGCGGCCCAAAATTACAAGCAATTGAAAGAATATGATCAATATCTCTATCTCTCTGGCCAACTGGCGGAAGTGAATTGAAAAGTTAACAAGCGTGGCGGCCATTGGCAAAATGGTTGCTTGGCCAGCAAGTTCGTTGCCTAAGTCTTTCGTTTAGACAAATGCCCAACATGGACTTTAAATTAATTACTTAATTTAACACAACACGCGGCCCAGCGACACCTCCGATGACATCCCAAAACGACGACAACACAAAGCACTAACATTGACAATTTGAATGCAGCCGCAAACCTGTTGGCGATCGATGCGAGCTGCGATCCTGAGTGTGGAGGACTGGGCTGCAGATGGGGGCATAACAGATTAGTTAGCATATCCCATATCAGGGTAATTATTGTTAAATGAGATAACGATCTTGTACTGCGTTGACATTTATTTATTTTCCTTAATTTCGCCGTATTAATCTTCCTGGAAACACGCATTAAACACAGCGCAGAAATCAGACAAACAACAAGAAGAAGACACACAGACACTCACCTCGTTGTGGCACGTCCCGCTCTGGTGTGTGTGTGTGTGTGTGCGCATTCGTAATGATCATTAGCGGCCCATGAAAATCAACAGCATCAATTTGGCTTTATTGGCAATGCAATGGCAACGAGCATGCGGCCAGTTTTTCGAGCCGTCTTTTGACAATTTGCATCAGGCAGGCAATCGATCAATAAGCCTCAAAGTCCGGCTAATTAATATAATATGTAAGCATCGGTATTATCGGAGAGCTCATCAACATCAAAATACTTGGCAATTAAACGAACACGTGAACAACAGCAAACACCAGGTAAAGCTGGTTAGATTTTTCGGGCGACCCGAAACAAAACTCAATTAAAGCCAGACAAGCTAAAATCAAAGCAACAACAATCACAAATACAACTACAACTATGGGCAGCAAAAAATAGAGAGAGAAAAAAACCGCCACAACCAAAAAAAGACGCAGCTAATTTAACCAAATTGGATTACTTAATAAGTTTATTGGATAAATAACTTGGCCGCAACAACAACAACAACAACAACGACAGCATAAAGTGAATGTTTTTGTTGTGGCTGGTTTTTTTTTTTTTTTTTGGGCGCGCCACAAACCTTTTGTGGCAGCATTCAAAATAAGCCACGGGGCAAAACAAGTTGTATATAAAAATTGTGAGCTAATTTCTGAGAATTACCCAAAAAAGATGCCCCCCACCCCCCACCCCCCGTCTAATGTGTTTTGTTGTTCTACAGAAACATTTGAAATGATATCGTTAGGAAAGCAGGGCCAAAGATAAGCCCCAATAACAAAATGCAAGCAGGCTCCACATCAAGTGGGCGTCGTCATTTATTATTAATTATAAACAACGTTTTGATAGACAACAGAGAAATACCCAGGGCCAGCACCTACTACTATCTAGGGATCAAATGTGCGTGCTACTAAGCAAACACACGCCTCGGCCCAAGTACTTAAATTGTTGTTGGCCTTATAACTAAATGCGATTTATATCAATATCTCTCTCTCTCACTCTCTCTTCCTCTGTCTGTGGGTGTAATTGGCTCTAAGGGCTTGAATTGTTGAGCTTTTGACACTGATTTATGCATGAGCTTAGATACATTGTGTACTTTGCTGCGTCCGATTAGTTGGCTAGTTGGTTATTCAACCAAATCATAGACCCGACGCCCTCTGACAGGCGACCGCAATTTAGTGCTGTTAACAGCTAGTAATTAGGCCCGATTTGCCTGTTAATTAGCCCATATCAATTGGCCCCGGCCAGTGGATATGGATGTTGCAGCCTGCAATTCGCATTCGCATTGCATATTCATGAGTTTCTTCCCGCGAGAATTTACTCGATTGTCGATCTGTCGCGATAGTCGCATAAATATTGATTTAAAAATCATTAGCACACCTCAAGCCAAAGTGCCGCGATGTCATTTCCAGCAAACCAGTTTGGGCATCTACCCCCACACCCCCGGCTGCACCACCTGCAACACCTGCACCACCCCCAAAAGCGCCCCAAAGCAGTCGTATCTTTTGATCTCACTCGCGCTGGCGCTCAATTAAATTCTACAATAAAACACGATTTGCATTTTAAATTGTGCAATTAAAATGCTTATGAAATCTATAAAAAATCGCTTAATGCATTTTACGAACGCCTAGTGAAAAAACAACAGCAAAGTAATGCCAAATGTCACACGTTAATTAATTAGCAGGCCAAATGGCTGACTCTAGAGTCTATAGGTATACAGTGAAAACTCTTCGGATGAACAGGGGGTTGACCTGATCAATAAATTGTACATAACATAATCCCGCCAAGATTCATCTGTATATGTATATATATATATCTCCTTATGGCCGGCGCCTTTCTAAGTAAAAGCTGCGAAAGTTGTAGGTGATTTTTCTTAATCTCTGGTAAAGTGCCAATTTCATTATTTAGCCGCTCGCTTTTGCTTTGAAAATTATGTAAATGTGTCTTGAGTGAAAAGACAAAAAAAAACGTTAATGGAAACAATGCTTAAATGTTTAACCAGAGAGATTGGATTTTGGCCGTCGGCTGTTCAGAAAAAAGTTACTTGAATCGAGACTCCAAGCGAAGGCAAATGAAAAATGGGAACTTATATTTATAATGTCGAAGAAATGGGAGAGAATAGAAAAAATAATAAATAAATGTTGGACACGCAAATATATATATAAATAGATGATGTCACGCCAAAAATATCATGCAGCATCATTTATAAGCAGATATTTAGCCAAATTGGATTTTGCACCAATTCAAAGACAATTGGTTTTTTTAATAATTTTATTCTTGCATAAGAATATTTTGTATATTTTATATATGAATATTTTTCAAGCATTTGTCTCTTTACTTAACAACTAAAACTAACAACTAAGACAACTAAAAGTTCTCGCTAGCAATTTATTAGCATAAGCGAATGCCAGTTATAGCATTCAGTTAAATACAATAATTAACATAAAACTAGTTATAAATAAATGCGTTATTGATGTACAGGAATTACAAAGTACCGACGAGCTCAAATGTGCAAGAAATTCGCTAATTCAATTTATTTATTCTCACTTTCTTTTTTTTTAATATTTACACGCTTAAACAATTAAAATTTGTACAATTGTTTCTCTCTCTCTCGCTCATTCTCTTTCTCTTTTCTGTTTTCTAATTGTGAGCTCAACTCAACTCGAAGGGCGAAGGGCGCAACTCACCTGCCCGCCCGCCTTTGATTTGGCACTGTTTTTTTTTGGGGGCGTGGCCAGTGAACGCATTTCGTCTCGTACTTAATACTTTTGTAGGAAGTGTTGTTTTTTCTTTCTGTCATTGGATAGATGAGAGTCGCTTCTATATACACTAAGCCTAGCGCTTTCCACTTTAAGAATATATCACAAATAATTAATTTTAAGAGCTCTCACACGCACACACTCATACACACAGACACACACACACACACGCACAACGCTCAGCAAATTTGGGCGCTTCTTTAGTAAGGAACTCACATACGCAGGGCGGGGCAGCTGGTCGGCTGTTCAGCCTAATGACTCGCATCTAGATCATGCTCATCATCGCTGGCACAGTCGTCCATTTCCATGTCGATGAGCTCGTCGTCGTCCTCGTCGCCGCTGCCGTTGTGCATGTTACGCTCGGAGCCGGAGCCGCCGCCCTTCTCGTCCTCCTGCTGCATACGCTTGTGCTTGGTGCGACGATTCTGGAACCACACTTTCACCTGCGTCTCCGAGAGATTGAGCGACTGCGCGAGCGCCTTTCGCTCCGCGCCGACCACATACTGATTGCTCTCGAAGGCGTGCTCCAGCTTCAGCAGCTGCGACGGCGAGAAGGCGGTGCGAATGCGTTTCGGCTTGCGAAAAGGTTGCAAGAGGAAATCTGGAAGGAGCAAGCAGAGATCGGGCTGGTTAGCCAACGCACAAGCAAACAGTGCTGACTAGTGTGTACTTACTTCCTGGAAAGCGGTGCGGAAATATGCGTCCGTGGCGACTGAGCAGCCACGGGTAGAGCGGGTAGCTGTCGCGCGGCATGCCCGGGCTGCCCATAAAGGAGGCGGCGGCGTGTGGGGGCAGGCCAGCCGCTGCGGCGGCGGCTGCCGCTGGACCCAGCACATGGCCGGCTTGCAGAGCTGCGGCCATCTGGAACTGGGCGGCGGCAATCAGATGCGGATTGTGCTGTGGTGCCAGCTCCGGCGGCGTGTTGATGTACGGTGGCAGCGCCTTAATGTCCGGCATGCCCGGCTGTCCTTGCGGCGGCGCTGGACCGCCTGGGCCCATCGGAAAGGGTCGCACCAAGCCGGCGGGCGGCATGCCTGGCATCATGAGCGGGTTGGGACCAGGGCCGCCAGCTGGATGCATTACAGGTGGCTTCGGGTAGCTAGGCGGCTGCTGTTGCTGTTGCTGCTGCTGCTGCTGAGGTGGTGTATTGTGCGGACTGCTGACCAGCAAGGTGGGCGAGCAGGAGGGCTGCGAGGATTGCGGCGAGACTGACTTGGGCGGCGTGTGTGGCGGCTGAATGCGCTGGGCTGGATTCTCTGCCTGCTCCGAGCCAGGTGGAGCTGGCGAACGCTCGCGCTTCAGAGAAACAGCAACTGGCGTGGACGTGACATCCCCCAGCGGGGAGAGGCGTGTCTGTAGAGGACTGAGGCCGTTGGCCATGGCGGCATTGTGATGCAGACGCTGCAGCAGCTCCTGTATATCATGATGGGACTTTGGTGTGCCCTGCTGCTGTTGGTGGAGCAACAGATGCTGATGCAGTGCGTGCTGTTGGGCTGGCGATAGATGTGGATGGGGATGCGCGTGTGGATGCGGTGCCATGTGCGGTGGCAGCACGTGGTTGGCATGATGTGTTGGCGGTGCCATCAGATGATGTGGTGGTGTGGGCGTGGCAGGCAGCATGGTGAGTGCAGCGGGCGGCGTCTGAGGCGGACTGCCGGGTCCGTTGCGGTCCGGCTGAGGGCTGCCGGGCTGCTGCTCCGGATTGCCTCCAGCGGCAGTCACCGTCGCATCGTTGCCAACAATCGAGTCGATGCTGAAGCCGATCTTCTGCTTGGGCGTGGGCAACATGACGGCTGAGGTGGGTACCGGCGGAATCATTTTAGTCATAAATACGCGCGTTGTTTGTGCGGGCGAGGCGGCGATTAGTTCGGCTATTTTGGCGGCTTTTGTCTTTTAAACTGTCTCTCAGTTAATCCTTGAGTAATCAGTTGCCTCTGCTTGTTACACTTGCTGCGACATTTAGACGCTTCACAACACTTAACACTTGCACTTGGCTTTGAAACCCTTTTAACCGTTGCGGGCGACGGGCAAGTAAACAACTTTCTAGCGGGGTGAGGGGCAAAGAGTCAACAAAAGTTTTGTAGTTTTGCGATCGACGCGCTCGTAACGTGTTCACTCGACGACGTTCACAGTCTGAATAATCGAGAGAAGCGGCGCAGCGGCACCAAGTGTACGCAGTGGGAATTATGCACGACACACGACAATACGCTCTCGCTCTCGCTCTCTCACTCTCTCTCTCTCTCGCTGGCTGGCACAAAACACGTCAAACCGGTCTGCACTAGCGCGTCACGGTTGCTGCTTGTTGCTGTTGCTGCTGCTTCTGCTGTTATTGTTATTGTTGCTTGAGCTGTGCGAGAGAGCGAGAGCACACGACCAGAGCAGAGAGTCGCACTGACCAATGAGCGTTGCCCGTGCGCTTGCCATTGCACTCTTGCCGCCTTGTGGATTTTATCTGGCCACGCCATGCTGTCTCATTATCTGAACGGATCAGCTGCACATGGAGAGGCGTACACAATTTAATTCGCTACGTTGTATTTGTGCTTGCATTTGTAGTTGTATTTGTATTTGTATTTGCTTTTGTGTTTGTGTTTGTGTTTGTGTGTTTCTGCATATGGCTTCCGTTGATTTCTACAGTCGCTGGTGGTGGTTGTTGCTGTGGTTGTTGTTGTTGTTGTTGTTGTTGTTGCTGTTATTGCTGCTGCTTTTGTTGGCATTGTGGCTGTCTCTTTGTAATTTGGCTTAAACTGCCATTCATAGTTTTTGTGGTTAGATTTTCATGCTTTTATTTTGTTTGGGAAAACAAGCAAAATGTGGAAAAATGCTTTAAATCGGGCATGTGCTAGGGCCAAGTTAGCACTTGCGGTAATAAAAGTGTAATTATATTCTTGTTTGCAACATGTTTACTTTTTATACACTATAACTATGTATTGGACTTCAATTATAAGTCTGAAGCAGTTAGAAATAGGCAAAATGCGAGTGAAAGGCAATTTCAATAGATATATACTTTTGTGTATTCTGAATCAGCATCAATTGTTTATCCGCCTTTAATTAATTGAATTAAACATTTAGATATATATAGAAATCGCACTCAAGAATACTATTTTTATTGACATATATAAGAGCCCAATGAAATGTTTCCAATACTCAATATTTCTACCACAGGAATAAGGAATGTATATAATTTCATTTACATATATCAGGGCATTATCAAAATCCTAAATATTTGTTGTTCAAGCTTTTCAAGCTTTTCATATGATTCGATTTTTTCTTTTGATTTGCATGCCGACCTGTTTACTTTGAGGCCACGCTCTGAATGCTGATTTCTGTATGAACTTTGTTCGTTTCAAATGGTTATATTGGTTATAACTTTCCAGGCGACTAGCAGGGGCTGTCATGCATGAAGACCGAATAGAATCAATCCGATTATTAATTCCGCACCACAAATGCACTTCAAAGTTGGCCTGGCGCTAATAAATCAAACCGGGCGCACATTTGCTGCGACAGTTTTATATAGAGAGCATAACGCTTACAATTTAGATGTTAATTTTGATGAATATTTGAATTTTTGTTCGTTTTGGCACAAGACAAACTTTGCATAGTTTATGTGTGTGATCGCAATCAAAATCCAAAATCAGAGCAACAGCCAGCCGCAGCAATTGTCGTTGGCGCGCATTTATTTTTAGATCAAGGCGCAAATATCAATTAGTGAATCAGTGAATAATTCAAACAAATAATTTTCACACTTTTTTGGCTTGCCTGGTGCCAGTTGTTGTCTTGTGTGGAGCCGACCGATTGTTTTGCCGGGGTTATCAGTTCCGGGGCAGCGCACAGAATTTATGACTTTCGAAATAAACAAAATTTGAAATTCATTCTATTTTGCTGTTAGATTAAAATCAATTTAATGGCCAGCTAATTAAGTCAACTGTCTGGCATGGCCTACCCGGGCAGGCCCATAAAGGCGTAATTACCCCGCCTAATGGGCTTTATATACAAGAAAAAACAAAAAAAAAACTGATGGAAAGTTCAGAGTGCGCTCTTTAATTGCCAAAACGTGGCAACAAATTGCCATAATGTGAAAGCTAGATTGGCTGCCAAGCCAAAAGCACATTGCTAATTTTGCAATTAGCCAAATTTAGAAAAAAACATCAAGTGCTTCGATTCACACGCCCACTGCGGGACGTCGAGTACAATAGCTAGAAGTGGACAACTGGAACCAGGACGAGTGCCTGCCCGCAACAATTGTCCTGTTAATGAGCAAATAAAGATCTCTGCATGACCAGCAGTCAGCTAAATAGATGTGCGACTAACCAGCTGCCTGGCACCCGCTGGGCAACCAATTGAGCAGGTTATACACAGTACTCGATCCTGAGATACCCTGCAGTAAGGTCAATATGTTTAACTCAACTCGAATTCGATTAGGCTATACGAGTTAAGGAAGATCCTGGAGAACAGGTTGCCTCTTTGTGGTTTGTTCCGCAGCTCACAGAAGGAAGGTCTTCCGGCTACAAACACTTTTCATAAAGTTCAGATGACTTGTGGCTTCTTGATAGGAAAACAGAAGTTTGGCCAAGCAGACTACCCTTTGCTTACAGGGTATCAGCTGACGTGGATATTTCGCAAAGGCGCTTCTGTGACTGCAAATGAAAACCATAAAAAATGCGAGACAAGGGCCAACAACAACAAGGGAACAGGCACACAAAAAAAAAACGTATTTATTAGATGGAAATGGAAATAAATCGAAAGCAGCCCCCGGGAGAGAGAAGAGAGCACACAATGCTGGCCCGTCCGAAAGGTGTCAAAATCAACAATTTTCGAGCTGCAAACAATTCCACAGAAAACAAGGCGCACAGCATGATGCAATTTTGCCCCTCTCGCACTTAGCTCCCTGTTTCGTGCTCTGGGTCTGGCTCTCGAGCGGATCTAACAATTATTCGGCTGAAATGATGAAGGCAAAAAAAAAAAAAGAAGTAAAATAAAATAGAAACAACAAGAGTTTCACTTTTGCTTGAAAAAGAAAAAACAATGAAAAACGTGGCAAATTTCCCTTTGTTTAATTTAGTGGCAAGAAATTGTTGAGTGCCAACGAAAATGGTGGAAACAAAAAATTGACTTTAATGATGATGAGTTGCCGATTAGAAGAACGCCTCGAGCTGCTTCGAGCTGCTCACTAAATTCATTTGAATTGTTTTCTGTTTTCTATTTTCTACCGTGTTTTATATTTTCTGTTGACTTTTTGTCTTTTTACGCTGAAAATGGCACAATTATACAGAAATCTCAATATTACACTTACCCACTGTGCCTGGCATTTAAATGTAATTAATTTACAGAGTCTTGATTGCAATTGAGGCAGACGCACACGCAGTTTCCAGGAATTTCAGTCAGATCTATCAATTTCACAGTTCTCATAATAAGTTCGTTTTCCCGACGATCCTCTCATAATTCGAACGCTTGTAAATCCACGCGGCACACAAAATTATGATGGATGATATTGCGGCTGCATTTTCACGCTTGAAAAGGGCGAGAGGAGTGGAAAATAGTAGCCGAGAAAAACTCCAAACTGACAGCGCTTCCAATTCCAAATGATGATAAGCATGAGAGGATCAAGATGAGAAGCGGGGGCGCGCGTGTGGAAGGGGTGGATCAGGCAACTGGCCAGCCCTCTTGACGGTCCGTCGAGTTCCCAGAAAAACCCATTACAAGGTAAATGAAAACGCCATGGGCCCAGGATCAGCATATGCATTTGATATTTCGAGCACGCCACATCGAACGAGGCCAATCAAGAAGAAAGGCAGAGAGAGGGAGGGAGAGAGAAAACTAACTACAATGGCCATAAAAGCATATTAAAACACAATTTTTGGTCAACAACGGAGCGTTAAGGGGCCAAAACGACATAAAACATTTATATCTAATCCTGGACAATCATAAAAATCACAGAAACGACATGACAACGATAACGACAATGGTTAAAATGGGAAAATGGAAAATGCTACGAGCTGTCAGCAGCGGCAAACATTGCTTTAAATTGTCGGAAAAGTGCTCAACTGCGAGCAGCTACGACAAACCAATGCCAACAAAAAGATCTAAGGAAAACAGTAGTCAGAGAAAATGTCATAAAAATGTCTAGCTACGGCTCCCACTTTTCACATTTCCCTCAGCCCGTGCTCCGTGCTCCGTGCTCCGATTCGCCCATGCTTGTCGTCGGGTACGTGTGCAAAACATTCTACACTATTCAAGAACCTGGCATTTTTATGACACTTTCCGTAACGGGAAAGGACTATCCCTATTCCCGGCCCTAACCCTTAGCCTAACCCTAAGCCCATTGTCATCCTTTCGGCCAGAACAACAACTGCATATAAAGAGGAAAATCTTAGTTGCTGAAAATAAAATCAAACGTAATTTTTATAGCTTTTCACCGCTACTTTTTAGTGGCCATACGAGTACGAGTTTTTCCTGCTCCGCTTACTCCCCTTTTTTTTGACACTTTGCCACGTTTTATTTCGGGCTGACAGGCACTTTTGTTCGTGTGTCATTATCGTTTTGGCCTTATCCGTTTGGACGGGACTTTATCTTGCCGTGGAATTTATGAACCGGCGGCAGAAGACAAACAACTGGCATTTTGATCGAGCTTGGATAAGATCACGATTAATATGGTTAGTCAGAAATTGGGGACTTGTCTACGATTAAGTAATATACATTTAGTTTAGTTCTTAAGTAGGAAATTCACATCTTGAATGCGAATGGATTCCAATATGGATCGTATTATGATTTGTTGCAGATATCTGTCTATGTCTAGAATATAAGCATATATATTTGTGTTCTTCCATTGC